CCACCCCCCTTTCTCACTCACAGAGAGAGCCCGACCTCCTCCTCCTCCTCCTCCCCCAGCCCCTTATTCACTTCGGGGGAAGCCGCTCGCTTCACGCCGTGGCCGTGCTCGGCCTGGGACTCCTTGGTGGCGCTCATCTTGCCGCCCTTCCGCGCCAGGCCGCCCGGGATCGCGGCCCGCCTAAGGATCCACTTTCCGGCCTTGCTGCTGTTTCCTCTTCCTCCTCCTCTTCCTCCAGCGAGGCTTCTCACTGCGCATGTGCGCGCTCGAGGGGGAGCGGCTCAGGGCAGCAATGCCTCTTGGAAGTTGTAGTCCTGCTCCGGCTGACCAGCAGCGGGCGAAGTGGAGGCTCAGGGAAAAAAAAAGAGGAGGAATTCCCACAAGGCCCTGCGAGACAGAGTTAGAGGGAGCGGTTTAATTATGCGTCCCGCCTCTCGTCCGTTCCCCGACTCGTGATTGGCTGTAAACGAGAAAGGCGGGGAGGGAAAGCAGTTTAATCGGAGCTGTTACTGAACGGTCTCTTAAACCTGTTTTTTCTTTTCTTTTCTTTTTGTTGGCAAGAAGTTGCTTTTCTCTCGTTCTTTTCGCCTACCCAACATTTATGTGAATGGGTTCAAGTAGCCACTCACATGCGTTGCTTTCATAGTCGGAGGCGGGGATTTGTTTAATTATGGGGAACATTTTTTTGCAGGATCCTCCAAGAACGGGCGGCCACGTGCTGGAACTGGGGGAACATTCATGGCCATAATTCTGTGGACGCTTGCCTGGAGTAAACCCCACGGATCGCCCTGTTGCGACAGACTGAGGTCTTGAACCGTGGCTGAAATCCAGTACTGTACTACTAAGTTGCAACTCGACTATGCCCACTAGAATCAATGGAACTGACAGCAGCTGAGCCACAAAATCCCCAGTGATTCAAGGGACTTGCAGTTTACTACCAGATTTCAGCAAATGTGAAACTGAGACTCACTCCAAAGCATTGTTAAAAATGTGCATCGTAGCAATGATCTAAAACTTAAAATTTAGTATTAAAGTATTTAGAGCCCTTTGTAGTCTGGAATGTAAGCTAGTTTACTTTTAGCTTGTGCATAAATCTGGCACTCCCCACTGAACACATTCTGAGAGAATATGTAGGGATCACACTGGGCCTTGGATACTTAAGGCAGCTAATCGGATGCATCTGCTTGAGCTTTTGGAATTGCACAGGTTGAATCGGGGAAATACAATTTTTTATGCGTAACTGCAGTCTGCCCATGTTCACTAAAAAGAACAAGTTTTCAGTTACTGAAACTAAGTTAAGAGTTCTTGGATAATTTTTTAAAAAATATTTAAAATATTTTTACCTCACCTTTCTCCTTAAAAGGGATCCAAGGTGGCTCTCACCATTAAGACAATGTTTAAAGCTAACCATATTAAGTAAAAAAAAAAATCAAGCAAATGCCACACTAAAAGACGGTAGACAAAAGCAACACGAAAAATATTCAGAGTAGTAAGTTACAACCATCTATTTTAAAACCCATTCAGGCAGCCAGTCATTAAGGGAAAGCTTGCCTGGAAAGAAAGGTCTTTGCCTGCCTGGCCACCTGTGGGAGGGATTTCCAAAGTCTAGGAGCAGCAACAGACATGGGTCTCTCCTGTGTCCCCATCAGATGTACCTGTGAAGGTCGTGGGACTGAAAGAAAGGCTTCTCCTGATGATCTTAACTCCTGAGCAGGCTTGAAGAGGGAGATAGAGTGCTTGAGATAGCTTGGAACTAAGCTGTTTAAGGGAATTTAGTTGAGACTGATGGGAGCTGGGAGTCCAACAACAAATGGAATGCCACAGGTATTCTACCCTGGCCAGAGATGCACGCTTGTTGGCAATGAGCAGCTTGAACCTACTATGTGATGTGTGTATCCCAAGGGCAATTTACATTGGCCTACCAAAAAACAAAGAGATGCTCCCTCACTCTCTTTTTAGATGTCATTAATTTGCAGAGGAATATATATACAAATCAGCTGCTTTCAGCCATGGCTTGTGAATCTTGTGCCCTACCCTTCCCTTGTGCTGAGGATGTGTTGCTCTTTGGGTCTCTGTGTGCCCCAAGACCTAATTATGGGGAGAATCTTTGTAAAGACAGATCCTCTTCCCATTTGACAGGAAGCACACAACAGTATACAGTATGTGTACTCGACTTGCGAACTTAATCTGTATTGGAACGGTGTTCGTATGTCGAAAAGTTTGTAAGTCAAGGCAAACTTTTCCATAGGAATGCATTGAAAACCATTTAATCCATACCTGTTGTTTTTCATTCTTATGTCAAGGCGCCGTTCTTAAGTCGAAGCATTAGTTCCCATAGGAACTAATGCAAAGCTGGTTAATCTATATTCTACCACTAGGGGGAGATTTTTTCTTCTTCTTTTGACCTAAGATGAATTTAGGTCAAAAAAAGGGCAGGAAAGGGTTTTTTTCGTTTGCAAGTCGAGGCTCCATTCGCAAGTCGAAGCAACATTTTGCGAACGGAGCCGTTCATAACTCAAAACGTTTGCAAGTGGAGATGTTCGTAATTTGGAAGGAGTTTGGAAGGCGCTGATGCCAGCTGGCAGTCAAAGGCTATGGACGGGGGAGGGGGAGACAGAGGTTGGGCTCAGTGTTGTGACTGAATTGGGGAGCATGGGAGTTGGAGGCTGTTGGAGATCACTTGATTTTTGGCAGAACACTGTGGCTTCTTTCTGGGCTGATTTGTGTGGGGTTCATGAGGGTAATGCTGGCCCAGATCCCTCTCCCATCCATACTCTGACATCAGGACTAAGTTGTGCATATATTATGTTGCATGCTATGAGCTTTATCTTACATGCCATATGAGTACTGTTTCAGATCTTTGCTGTCAGAATGTCAGCAATAGAAGAGGCAAACTGACATAAATGATGGCAGTCATTGCCAGTAAAACTGAGTGTACAAAAAAATGATAGTGACAACGTTAAAGTTCCAACTTGTTTCTGGCTTGTTTTATTAGATTAAAAAATTGATTCACTATAAAAGCGCCTGTTAGGAAGGGATGGCTTGGGTGTAAACATTTCAAAGCCTTTTCAAGGGCCAGGAACATATATAAAGGCTAGAAATATTCCCATTCTAAAATGCCTTTTATATTTTTGAAACTGTTATAAAAGCCATACTTTAAAAAGCTCACCCATATATTTTTACAAAATATTTCTGAACGCATTAGTGTTCAAAACTGCTTTCACACATCTTGATTTTTACTTGAGTGCTGCTTTCTTGAGAGCTTCTTCACAAATCCTGATCTGTAAGAGCAAGACAACTTTTTATTAAGAGAGCAAAGAAGAAAGTATTGTTGCTGAGTTTAGTTTATATTGGAAAATGGGAGCATAAGGTCAAAAGTACGGAGAACACTCTGTATTTGTTCTCTCCCTTGGTAGCATACACACACAGACACAGACAGACACAGACAGACACACACAAACACAAACACACGTACAAAGGATTCCTTCACACATCTATACTTCTCATTCCTATGACTGCAAAATCAAAGTTATGACTTTCTCTTGTGAGTAAACCGCACAAATCAGACCTCCAGAGATTAGAAAAATCACACTTCTGGACTACAGCTGGTTAGGGGATTCTGTGAGTTTTACAGTGGACCCTCGACTTACAGACGGCTCGACTTACAGACTTTTCGAGTTACAGACTTCTCTGGCTGCAAAATTTAGATTCGGCTTGCAGCCAGAGAATCGACTTACAGACCAGAAAAAAACCAAAATGGAATAAAAATAGAATAAAAACCACTGGTTATGGGATTAATCGGTTTTCAGTGCATTGTAGGTCAATGGAGATTCGACTTACAGACTTTTCGACTTGCAGCCACCATTCCAATACGGATTAATTCCTTAAGTAGAGGGTCCACTGAACTCCAAAAGGTGCCTTTTTAAAGTGACGCAAACATCACATGATCTGATGCCATTGATTTTCAAAGTGGAGGGATGTCTCCTGCTTGTTGGTCCTCAAGTCCTGTTACACAAGTGAAGGTTTATCCCTTGATAAATGGGCCACCACAATAATTAATGGGTCTCTCCAGGAGGGCATGGTTCCCCCTGCCCTCAAGGAGACACTCGTTAGGCCCATTAGAAAGAAACCTGATTTGGCAGCGGATGAAATTGGAAATTATAGGCCCATTGCCAATGTTGTTAGGCCCATTTTAGAAAGAAACCTGATTTGGCAACACGGATGAAATTTGAAATTATAGGCCCATTGCCAATGTTTCTTTCTTGAGTAAAGTGGTTGAGAGGGTGGTGGCCGATCAGTTCCAGGCCCTCCTGGAGGAAACCGATGCGCTTGATCCGTTCCAGTCGGGCTTCAGGCCATGGTGTGGTATGGAAACAGCACTGGTCGCCCTGCAGGATGACCTGAGGGAGGCTGACAGGGCAATATGTCACTTTTGGTCCTCGATATCTCAGCAGCCTTTGATACCGTCAACCACGGTATCTTCCTAGGGTGGCTTTCTGAGTTGGGAATCGGTGGCCTCACTTCGGCGGGGCTCCATTCCTTCTTGGAGGACCGTCCCCAGAGAGTGCAGCTTGGTGAGATGACTTCCACCCCGTGGATCCTCAATTGCGAGGTTGTGCAGGGGTCGATCATCTCACCAATGCTATTTAATATCCGTATGTGGCTGCTGCGTGTGGTCATCCAGAGTTGTGGGGCCCAGTGCCATCAGTACGCTGATGACACCCAGCTGTACCTCTCCTTTTTACCTACTGCAGTGGATGCTGCTCCAACCCTTGAACGCTGCTTGGGGACCGTTCTGGTGTGGACGAGGGCAAATGGACTGAGGTCGAATCCAGACAAGACAGAAATCATACACATGGGCGGCCCAGGCGTCAGTGGGTTGGGAAACTCCCTCTCCTTTGTGGGAAGTGACTCTTCCCACTAAGAATGAGGTTCGCAGCTTGGGCATCTGCCTGGACCCGGATCTCACCATGGAAACCCAGGTGGCATCTGTGGTCCGAGCAGCCCATTTCCATCTTCGGAGAATTGCCCAGCTGCGTCCCTATTACCATCCTTTTTGCCATCCTGTGAACTGCACAGCTGTAGACGTAATGCCTTGCATTGAGATAGCCCCCATGATAACAATGCAGTTATAAAAACCCTTCTGCTGCCTCCCAACAGATAATCTCGTATTACTATTACAATTGAAATTCTTGCAAGTTGTTTTTCAAAAATTTCATCTGTATCTCATCCTTGATTGACTGGTCAGTAATAGACTCCAACTACCATTTTCCTTTTGTTTATCACCCAAATTATATTAATCCAGATTCTGTTAATGGGGCAACCAAGCTCATCCTCCT